AATCAATCCACTAGCAATGCAGCTTGGACCTTTTCACGTATTACCCTTAGCCGACTAAGCCAAGGTTCTGTAACTACTGAATAAAGCAGACGTGGTCGGGCTCAAGATATACATCAAGGCTTACAAATCTGGGTGCCTGGGCTCGCCCTATATGCTAAGCCAAAACCGGTGTGAACGTACAAGTGCTGCGTGAAACATACACTGCTGCCAAGTAATTGTGCAGCAGACTGCATAACCTACGTGTGAATATTGTGTGCACCGCCTTGAGCTCCAGGAGGAAAGGAGGGTCAACTCTTCGGAAGCTTATTTAGGGATAAAGGTGGTGCAACTCGAATACACTACCTGCCAATTTTCTCCCTGAATCATCCACACAAACCGCAGCACTCTCCGGTCAGCCCCCGACCACTCACCCCACGCGCCAAGTGCCCCGCCCCGCCCTACTTTCTTTTCCGCGGCACGTCAGCAGCTGTAGCTCCACCCCCGCTGCCCAGGCCTCGAGAATTCGGGCCCCTGTGAGGTCCCGCCCACTTCTGACGCCACTGCCCCGCGTCCCCTCCCTCCGTTTCGGCGCCGTGGGTGAGGTCAGCGCCGCGCGCCTTTCACCCAGGCTTCCTTCCCGTCCAGGCTCCGTTGCGGAGGGAGGTGCTGCGTCTCCTGCGGGTTCTTGGCTTCCAGCGTTTGCCGCCCGCCCGCCCCTTGTTGCTGTGTGCTCCGAGACCATGGAACTGGCGGACGGCGGGGTGTACCAGGAGGAACCGGGCGGCCCCGGCCCGGCTATGATGTCAGAGCGGGTGTCGGGTCTGGCGGGCTCTATCTACCGCGAGTTCGAGCGGCTCATCGGGCGTTACGATGAGGAGGTGGTGGCCGAACTGATGCCGCTGGTTGTGGCGGTGCTGGAGAACCTGGACTCCGTCTGTGCGCACAGCCAGGAAACCAGCGTAGAGCTGGAGCTGCTGCGGGACGACAACGAACAGCTCCTCACCCAGTACGAGCGGGAGAAGGCGCTGCGTAAACAGGCCGAGGAGGTGCGTAAGCGGGGGGGACTGGGGCGCGGTGGTGGGGTGATATTGGCCGGCTCGGAGGATCTCCAGAGACTTTTCTGCTTACATGTACGTGCGTGAGCGAGGGTTGGAAGGATGCGTCGGAGGAGCGGCAGCAAGTAAAGGACTATTGGTGGTTGAAAGTTTGGTGAGGAGAGGATGAAGAAGCTAAATTGACTGTGCAGTAGTCTGGGCCTGGTGGTGCCTAGTTGACAGGAACGGACCCCCATAACCAAGGTGGAGGTGGGTTATTGTCGATGCATGATGAGCTGAAAAAAGTTAGTGTAGAAAAGAAAAATCACGAGCAATAGGAATGGATGTGAATCTTGTAGAGAAGGTCTTATAGTAGAGCTTGTTGTCCCAGAATTGGGGTAAAGGATACTGTTGACTTGAAGGAGATGCTTTGATTGCTTTGCTTGTGATCATCCCAGAGGAATCTGATTGGCTGCTGTTGTATAGAATTCTTGCCAGCTGTATCTTATGATGCAATGGATGGACTAGGTTGAACTTCTGAAAGGCTCAGTTTCTTTCTTTCAAAATGTTCATTCCCTGGGGTGATAATTTTAGTGATGGTAGTTGTCATATGTTTGCTATGCAATGTTAGGCCTCAGTAAATTCATTCTTGTAGAAGATTATGATGTTTGCACTACTTGGAATTTGAAGGTTGTGGTCTTAAATACTGGAGAATGAAACTTTAGTTAAAGGAAAAGATAATGTAAGAAATCAGTTTTTCATTGAAAGTCTGAGGTACCAAATATCAGGAATGGGATTAATTCAGTTCTTTACATCACATTTGATACTAACAATTATAGATAGGATGCATTATGTAAAAAATAATTGCTAGTAATATGCTTTTTCTGTCTTACTGAATTTCTAAAGGTTAGGTAGATACCATGATTTTAAATACAGCTAATTTTGAAAAGAGCAACCTAATCTTATCTTGCTATCTTCTTCTCTGTTTATATGTAAATGAAACTTTGAATTTTAAATAGATGAAAGAAAAAGAATTAAGAACTCCTTATGCAATTCTTCCATCTGTAACATTTAAGGTTGCTTAAACAACAAAGCACAACTGAGCATTTTAGGTAAATTCTTTGTTAAAGCCATGCTCTGGATGCATGGCATTCTAGATTCAATTCCTGTTGCACCTGGAATGGTAGTTTGAGTCCTGTACAACTGTGTTGCTCATAAGTTGATGATATTTATTGTGTTTCAGTAACACATTTTGAAGAATACTTAAAACAGAAGTATTGTTGTGATATTGCTTCAGTTCTTAATTTAAGGGAGACATCTCTGTTGATTTGTAGGTAGGATAGGGCAGTCCCAGGCATTTGGGGATTCATTTGTTAAAAAGCTTGTTGTTGCTGCTTAAGAAGCAATAGGTATTGAGAATGAAAGATAAATTGGGGTAGAGACTTATCAAAAACAAAAATGTGTCAAAATATTATTTGGCTCAATTTTTTTTTATGAAATTTGTAATGAAATAGTTTTCTTCTGTTTTGCTCTTGCCTGTGAGTTTTAGCCAAATACTAAAAGTCATAACATTAGTAGTTAACATATTAAATGCATTGATGGATGCAAGATATAACTTTGAAATGAACAGTTAAATTTATATTCATATATGCATGACTGACGGGAATATGAGTGGAAACAGAAGGACTTTTTAGTTGAATAATAATCATTTACTGCTTATCCATGGAATTTACCTTAACATTTGCTTTGTTTAAACCCCAATTAAGCAGGGGTTGAGTAACAGGACTAGGAAAAACCTGTTTGAGACTTTGGAGTTATTGATGTGTAGAATCATAGCAAGCTAGGTGGATTAATGTTCTGACTTGACATTAGGTAGCTTCATATGTTCCTTTATTTTTTATCTGAACAATTCTGAATGCAACCACTACTGTGGTATATTTACTATTGTAAGACAATTACTATTACAGTTTATAGCTAGTGGTATCCTTCCGGTAGCTGTGCAGGCACTGTTGACAAACTGAATTCCTCACTTGCCTTTCTCTCACCTTCTGAAATCTCTCTAGAAAACTGTAGCACTTTCTGAATCTGTTTGGGAGTATTATGTGGGGTATAGGAGCTACACAAGAAGGGG